TTGAACAACATTGGGACAGACACTGGGGCACATCCAAAGAAGGATGACCAAGGTCATGAGGAAAATGAATGACACATCATAATTCATTCACTTACTAACCCACCAATTCAACCTACCAAGCACCTACTAGGCATTCTGGAGGAAGTGGAAGAATTGTAACAGAGAATGGCTCTCTCATGGAAGGATCCTTCTGGGGGTTGTGATGGTTGTCCCCAAATATTTAAATCTCTATCGTATGGTGTGGAGATGAAGTTCCCCTGGGTCATTCCATAGGCAGAAGGTCCAAAAAGTTCAGAGAGGCAGATTTTATCCCAAGAGAAGACAGTTTGGGGAGTTTGGTTCGGTTTGGTTTATGGTGTGGGGATGAACCCAGGGCCTTGCGCATGCTTCATAAGCACTACTGAGCTTCACTTCCAGGTCTTTGTTTTGTTTTCTATCGGGCAGCACCATCCAGAGTGAGCAGCTCATCCCCAGATGGTCTTGAGCAAAGGCTGTCTGGCTGAGTAAAGCCATTCTTGCCTCTCTCTGGTCATGGCTGGGAGGTGAGTCTCCCAAGGCTACTCCATGACACCATTGGCTCTTGGATTGGCTTCTCCTCCTGTGTTGACCCCACAGTGCAGGGGCAGGTGGTCTCTTCCCTGAAGTTTAGTAGAAAGGTGAGTCCCACGTGACACTTTTACATATTTTCCCCCATCAGATACACATTTGTATCTTCATATTGCCAAGCAGAGAAAAGAGTTTGATCAAGCAAGCTTTCATAATTTGCTGGCCAGAATCCCCCAGGCAGATCTCAACTGGCTTCAAGTGAGCAAAGGGCAATGCAGTTTGGGGGAACCACAGTCTAACTCTTCCTTCATCTCCCTGATTATCTATCTATCATCATCATCATCATCATCATCATCATCACCATCAATCACTTTCATGTAATAAGTACCCAGTAGGTGCCAGATGGGTAATAACACCCTGTGAGGTAGGTTTTATTATCAACATTTTCATTGTTGAAAAAAAAAATGTGGATTATATTCATTAAAGGGAATGTCAGATCCAGGACTGGAGCCTGGGACTTTGGGATCTTAAATATGGAGGAGCTAGTAGTTGATTCTAAGAATCTAGAGATGATGAATCCCATCATCCTCTTCTCTTTCTTACCTAAAGATTAGGGGAAATAAGGTTCTACAGCTAAATTTATCATCAAAGCCTAATGATTGTGGCTGTTCTGTATCTGTTTGCTTTTACCTATTTGCAGATTTGTAGAGGACTTGAGACACCCTGGAGAGAGGAGACCTGAGCTTCAGCCCTTACCCTGCCTCTAACTAGTTTGTGACCTGAATCAAGTCAGTTAATCACCTTCCTCCTCAGTTTCATCATCTTTGAAGATAACTATATAATGCTTAAATATCCCTTCTACGTGTCTAAGTTTCAAGAAAATGCAATTAAAAAAAAAAGTGATGCTAAGGGAAATAAGCCAGACACAAAGGGGAAAGATATTATATAATTTCACTTATCTGAGGCACCTAGAATAGTCAAATTCACAGACAAACTGGATCAACTAAGAAAAAAAGAGAGAGGAAATAACTAAAATCAGAAATTAAAGAAGGAGGGTCAGGGCAATAGCTCAGTGACAGAGCGCTTGCCTAGCATGCATGAGGCACTGGGTTCGATCCTTAGCACCACATACAAATAAACAAAATAAAGCCATTTTTTTTAAAGAAGAAATTAAAGAAGAGACATTGTTAGTAGTTTTATGGAACTAAAAATAATTATTAAAAAGTACTGGACTAGGGGTAGAGTTCAGGGGTAAAGCACCTGCTCAGCATGCAGGAGGCCCTGGGTTCATTTATTCAATCAATCAATCAATATGCACAATGATATACCAGCAAATTGGATAACCTCAAAATGAACAAATTCCTAGAAACGTGCACCCTACTAAGACTAAATCAAAAAGATATAGAAAACCAAAACAGACCTATAGTCATTATAAGGAGGTTGAATCAATAATTTAAAAAAAAATTACCAAAAAAGAAAAGCACAGAACCAAATGCTTTCACTGGTGAATTTTACTGAAGATTTAAAGAAGAATGAACACCAATTCTTCCCAAAGTCTTTATTAAAAATCAAAGAGAAGGGAACATTTCCCACTGTATTCTTTGAGGCCAGCATTACCTCATACCAAAGCTAGACAAAGACCTTATAAGAAAACTATATACTCATATTCCTGATGAATTTTGATGCAAAAGTCCTCAACAAAATACTTGCAAATTGAATTCAACAACAGATTAAAAAAATATATACTGGAGATATTAGATAGAGTAATTAGGCAAGAAAAGGAAATAAAAGGCATTCAAATTGGAAAGGAAGAAGAAAAATTTTATCTCTGTTCATAGTTGACATGATAATATATGTAGGAAACCCTGAAGATTTCACACAAAAAAAGTTAGAATTAATAAATGAATCCAGTTAAGGTCTAAGATACACACACAACACCCAAAATCAGTTGCATTTCTACTCATGACTAAGGAACAGTCCAGAAAGGAAATTAAGAAAGCAATTTGATTTAGCAAAAAGAATAAAATACTCAGGAATTAATTTAATTGAGAAAGTCACTTGTATACTGAAAACGACCAAGATATTACTGAAATGAATTAAATAAGATACCATTAAATGGAAAGGCATCCTCTGTTCATTCGTTGGAAGATTTTATATTGTTAAGATGCCAGTATTACCCAAGTGATCTACAGATTCAGAGCAATCCCTTTCAAAATGCCCAATTATGGTTTTCACAGAAATAGGAAAACCTATCCTAAAATTCATATGGAATCTCAAGGGACTCTTAACAGCCAAAACAATCTTGAAAGAGCAAAGTTGGAGGTCTTACAGACCCCCCCACCACTGTGCAACCTTGGACAAGTTATTAAGTCTCTCTGTTCACAAGTTTCCTCATCTATAGATGAGGAAAACAACATCCTTCAACTCATAGAACCTTTATGAGATCAAATGAGTAAATGCATAGAAAGTCCTTAGAAGAGAGACTGGGACACAGTAAGTACCATATAAGGAAGAGCTACAGAGATATTTGGTTCCCTGTAAGTAGCTCAGCTAAATGATACCCATTTCCAATATATTTTTTAAGGCAAAGTCAAGACTTAGAGCCAGGAGTCAGAAAGAGAAATTAACCAGAGAGGTGACTCACTTTCCTTACGCAGACAGGGAAAACCCCACGGGTGCCATGCTCAGAAGTGCAGGGGCATCTCTGAATGCACCAGTTTAATAAACGGGGGGTGGATTTAGGGAGCTCACTTCCTATCATTTGACTTGACTCGACTCTGAAAGCAAGGGGACAGCCCCAGCCCCTGCTTCCCAAAGCCAATTCATGCCCCTCTGTTGACCATAAAAGTACTCTGTCTTAGACTGTTGCTCATCTTCCCTGCCATTTACTTGGCACCCTAGGAGGGAACCTGTGCCATCCAAAGGACACAGAGCTGAAAAGAATCCATCACAGAGCTGTTCCCAATTCATTCCAACATTATCTCACACCAAAGCTAGACAAAGGCTCCGTGAGAAAACTGTCTCATTAAGAAGGCCAGAGCAGGAGATACGATGTCTGCATTTAATTCACTACCCTCTCCTTTGTAAGAGGCATTGGTTATCAATCCAGAGAATGTAGAAGCTCTCCTGGAAATGACGTGCAGGAGTGATAGGGGTTACTGCGCTGCTAAATATTCTCCATAGGCAATGCAATGCAGATGTTTGCAGCTTGTTGCAAAACAACCAGATGAGAGAAGGCAGGAAAAACAAGCTAATTGCATCTCCCAGTCAAAGTGTGCTAGAAAAATCTTTATACACAAAGTTAAATGTTGGAACTGGGCCAGCTAGCTCAGGACCAGGATTATTGACTTTGAGCAGGGATGACTCTTACCAAATGCCTGGTCTGGCTGTCTTCCACTGTTCCCAGCAGGACCACGCTCCAGGTGGAAATGCCAAATTGTGCACACGGGGAATTTCCAAAAACTGAAGCTCCTGCTCAGCCCCTGAAGTCAGTGCTAATGTTTATGTCGCCCTTGGCCAAGACACTCCTGGTTATTTTCACTTTCTCTCTTGACAGACTCACATAGGGGCAAATACAGTATTGAGCAACCAGGGGGAAAAGGTCTGGGGGTTTTTCTGGGGGCTTGCTCAAGCTGGCTGGTTTGTGGTGCCTGTGTTGGTAAGGTCTCTAAAATCCATCTTTCTGGAAATCGAGTCATGATGAGCTACCACCTCTCCTCCCTGAATCAAAGTTAAAAATCAATGTGGCGTGGAATCACACTGATGGGGGAGCTTACTTATTAATTAACTCTTCTCCATAACTGATTTATGCTTTCGTAGTAAGACCCAGACCATTTTTGCTCCTGCAAAAACACACCGGAAGACATCTCTGAGAAGTTTACCCCAAATCCTTACACGAGGACCTATGAAATCTAATTTTCCCATAGTGCAATGCTAGGTGAATGTTTGCTTCTCCAAATAAAAGTGCTTCTTTTAGGGCTGGAGTTGTGGCTCAGTGGTAGCACACTCCTGTGGATCTACAATTTAAAAAATATTTTAAAAAATGCTTCTTTTAAAAACAAACAAGCAAAAAAAGAAAAAGAAAGAAAGAAAAAGTGCTGCTGCTTCTCATTCTCTCCTCCTCCCCCTTCTCCCTCCTCCTCCTCCTCCTCCCCCTTCTCCCTCCTCCTCCTCCTCCCCCTTCTCCATCCTCCTCCTTCTCCCTCCTCCTCCTCCTCCTCCTCCTCCTCTTCCTCTTCTTCTAATGAAATTTATATGGTCCACCATTCCTGTTTTGACCCTGAATGCTGAGAAGCCCAGAGTCAAATTTCATGATTAAAATATTTATCCATATGCAAACAGTTCCCACTTGGACATAATGGGCTTCCAACTCTCTTCTTAAATTTTTCATTGTCACTGTATTTAAAACTGTAAAAAAAAAATAAACAAACAAACAAAAAAAAAAACCCTCATGATCTTTTAAAATAATAAGGTAGAATATAATTAATTAATTAATTAATTACACTATTAAACTTGACCACAGCGTTAATCTCCAACCTTGCTACTTAAAATAGAACTGAGCTCCTAATGTTCCTGAGGCATTGATAAAAGTTATTGTTCAAAAAGAATTGGCTCTGGGTGGGGTTCGGGTTCCTAATTTGAATCTGTTTTCTTGGAGCTGGTTTGAACCAATTGGTGAGACTGAGAGATAGTCACTTCCCACTCTCCTTTGTTTGAAAGGATCCTGTTTTGCAGGTGCAGGGTTCACTGCAAGCTTTCTGGCTCTAAGGAAAGCACTTGTGCACCTGCGTACATCCAATGTTCTTATCTTTCAACCAAACCTTGTTACAAAGAATAGCAGCCCCACAAAACCCTCAATAGAACAAAAGATCTCCAAGTGCTGGAGATTTTAAAACTCCACTTGGGCTGGAGTTGTGGCTCCCAGGGCGTGCGGTAGAGCACTAGTCTAGCACATGAGCAGCCTTGGCTTCCATCCTCAGCACCACATAAAAATAAATATATATATATTTTTTAAAAAAGGTATGGTGTCCAACTACAACTAAAAAAAAAAATCAATATTTTTAAAAACTCCACTTATTAGAACAATGGTCAAGTAACACAGTAGCAAAATAGTTACAATATTTGGACACAGCTCAGGATTGGTTACAACAGATAGAACTGTTTCTGGCTTATACTTTGAGTGAACAAGCGTCTTGGGCAAGAAGTGTTCTTATAGCTACTATTTGCAAAAGTCAGCAACTGGGGTTGTAGCTCAGTGGTAAAGTGCTTTCCTAGCATGTGTGAGGAACTGGGTTTGTAATGCCAAATTCGTGGGACCCCAATAGACCTCCAGGAGCCGAATCCGATGCAATCACACAAGAGTCTTTATTGCAAGCTCGAGCCTGGACTCACAACCGTTACCAACGCAGTGGTCCCAGGGAGTGAGTCCCAGTCCTTTGTTCAGTGAGATTTTATAGATTTGGGGGGATATTCTATGTGTCACAACATCACACAGCAAATCATTTCACACTGTGGGAAAATCAAACAACAACTCTTAACATTGATTAGCACATTCACTATTGGGAACAAGTTGGGTAGGGGTGATGGGTTAGTACAAGAGGGGTATTCATTTTGAACTGATTGGTTTAATCCGTGAAGGGTGTACGTGTTAAACTACATGGTTTCCTAGCATGTTATCAACGACCAAGTCTACTGGGGGTCATCTGACATCCCAGGTATTTTCCCTGTCTCATGCTGATTGGTGGTTGTTAGGGGGTTGCTATGGGTCCTCACCTAGCCTAACTGAGTCAGCGACATCTGGCGCCTCAGATCTCTCCTGTTATTTACAGACAAACAACTCAGCAGAGTGGGTATGTGCCTAAGAAGGCTCTGTGGGTTTTTCCAAGGTCAAGGGTCACGCCCCTTCCTTGGCAGGCTTTGCTGTGAGGTAAAGGCTGGTTTCTCAAAAATGGAGTCACATCAGTTTCTCAGGTTCAATTCTCAGCAACTGCATATAAGTAAACAAATAAGGGCTGGGGATGTGGCTCAAGCGGTAGCTCGCTCGCCTGGCATGCATGCGGCCCGGGTTCGATCCTCAGCACCACATACAAAGATGTTGTGTCCGACGAAAACTAAAAATAAATATTAAAATTCTCTCTCTCTCTCTAAAAAAAAAAATAATAATAATTGAAAAAAAAAACAAATAAAATAAGCATCTATTAACAACAATTTAAGATATTGTTTTTTAAAAAACAATCAACTGCAATCTATTCTATTAGAACCCACAGTTAACTGGGATCTTTATTCATTTCATCTCTCAGTGTAGATGACCTTCTTTTTAAATTATAAGAAGTTACATTTATGTCTGAGAGGTAATAAAATACCAGTATCCCAGGAATATCCTTGACTTATCCCAGGATCCTATGTAGCTGTCTGTACCCATATGGGCATTGCTGCACTAAAACCTGTAGGTGTTATTGCACCCTCAGTTACTGAAGGCAAAAGCACATTCTTTCAATGTAGTTTTGCACAGATTTCTGTTCAATAAATCAGAAAGCAATATATCATAACAAGCTCTTCCATGAGCCCCGTAGCAAAATGCTTCTCTTCCAAATGCCTCCCTTTGATACATTAAAAAAAAAGCCTTTCCCTGAGTGGCCCAAAGCATTCATGTCAATTCCTTAAAGAAGTAATTGTATCCTTCCAGTCAACAAAAAGTTGCTGAGTTTCTACTCTGTGCTTGGATGAAGGTGGACAAATACCTACTCCCTGCAACAGACAGACTCGGCTGATTGGTCATGGGGCTCTTGCACAGACACTATATCAATCCATGGGGCCTGGAAGATACAAGCAGCTCCACCTTCCTGCACCAATATCCTCTGCGCCTATTGTGTGCCAGGCTGAGGGGTAAAAAACAAACAAACATGAATAAGGCAGAACTCACAGTCTAAAGGGAAGCCAGTCACACAAACAGACTGTCATCATAGCAAGAAAGTTCTGTGATTGTCAGTGGTGTGGGGTGGTCCTGGGCTGCCTGGGCTGGGGTCAGGAAGGCCTCCTGGAGCTGGGGGATCCTGACCAAGGCTTCAGTGCACTGCAGCAAAGGGGTGAAGCACACAGGCTCTGAAGACAGGTTAGATGGGTTCAAGTGCACCTCTAAGACTTCCCACTATATGACCTTGAACTAGGTATTTAGACTAAATCTCTAGTACCTGACCTATATATTGGTGTTCCCCTCACAGCACTGCTAGATGATGGGGATTATAGATCCACTTGGCACTTAGCACAGCACTGGGCACACAGTAAGAATCTGTTCAGGGTAATGTTATCGCTGTTTACCATTGTTTACCAGTGACCAGGGGACCTGAAAGTCGGAATCTGTGGAAGGGGGAGGTCTTCCCTCTTTTATAGCTAAATTCTTCTTTTAGTTTTCCCACATTCCTGTCCTTTGTTTCCCTTTATCTTGCAGTGATGGAATGCAGGTGGGAAGGCCAAAATGTGGGAGATAGGTGGGCTGAAGGAGTAATATAGGCAGGAAGGGCCTGGGGCGGTTTTTGATTAGCACCTCCCTGTTTGCTGGGAGCTGCTTCTTGAACAGTTCCTTAGGACGGTTTCAGGGCCTTGGGGACATTAACATTTCAATTTAATGTTAATGAAATGCTGCTCTGGTTTCTCCGACTCCATTCGATAATGGTCTCCATTTTTTTAATCTTACTCAATATTAGGCCCGATTTACCTAACTACATTAACTACCTTTCGGTAAATCTGGCTTCAGTAGGAGAGTCATGCAAGGGACAAAATTTACTGTGTACCAGGCACTGTGCTAGGTGTCTGAAATAAAATAGTGCGCCTGGCAAAGTCCAGAAAGAGCAAGGAGGTTAGTGAGGTTGTGAAGCCAGAATTAGCCGGGCAGAGAGGTAAGGGTGGAGCCAGAGAATGGGGGAATTGAAATTCTTCCACCCTCTTGAAGATAACCTGCCCCTGCTCCAAACTGTTGCTAAGGTAACCTGTCTCAGGGATAGTCCCTCCCCACAAGGGGGGTGTTAATTACGCCCCTTTCCCGCCCAGATCACTCCCACTTGGCCCCTGCACCCCATCTGCTTCTCTCTCCTTTTGGCCAACCCACCTGGGCATCTCCTGGGCCTAGTCACCGACACAGGAAGGAGAGAAATAGGGAAGCCTAGGACATATTAAAAAGGCAAACCCCCCTTGCTGCTTGAGATACCAGGATACCAGCTATGGCCCCCTTCTCCCTCCTGGGAGAAGTCTATGTTACCTCTTTTTAAACAAACCCTGCTTTATATGCTTGCCTTGGTGTGTTTCTCCAGTGCTACACTCCAACATGTGAAGAAGCAGGACTTGTCGCTGGTAACTGGGGGTATCAGTTGGAACAGAGGGGATAGAGGGGAGAGTGAAGCCAGATTTAACGATAGGTAGTTAGTGTAGTTAGGTAAATCGGTCTAATAAAGAAAATAGGGTCTGATCCGAGCCTGGGAAAATCAGAACTACCACTGGGAAATTGAAACGTTAAAGTCCTCAAGGCCCAAGTCTGTCCTAAAGAACTGTTAATGAAGCAGTTAAGAGATGCTAATCAAACCACCCTAGGCCCTTGCTGCCCAGATCTCTTCTCCCCGCCCCATCAGGCCACCTCTTTGTCACCTTTGGGCCTTCCCACCTGCATCCCCCACCACAAGCAGGATAGAGGGACACAAAGGACCGGAATGTGGGAAGACAAGGGAAGACCTTAGATATAAAAGGGAGAAGACCTCCCCTTTGCACGGATTTCACCTTTTGGGTCCCCTTCTTCCTCCTGGGGGAAGTCTTTTCTGCTATCCTTTAATAAAGCCTTCCACTCTCCACTCCGCGTTCGCCTGGGCGTGCTTCTCTGGTGTTGTACTTCAGCATTCGGGGAAGCAAGGACTCTTATCGTTCTTCACTTCCTGGCAACGACTGGCAGAGATCCAGGGACACTGTATGTAGTTGTTAATAAAGTGATTATGCTTTCTAGAAAGGAAATTTATATTCCTTACAGACATTAGACTCCCCCCTCCCATACTCAGATGTCCTGGGAGCCTGAATTCCAGCTTCGGCCTGTGATGCCAGGACTTCCCTGCCCACTGTGGACATTAAAAGGCAAATGCCAAGCCAGGCGTGGTGGTGCACACCTGTAATCCCAGTGACTTGAGAGGCTGAGGCAGGAGGATCCCAAGTTCAAGGCCAACCTCAGCAATTTAGCAAGGCCCAAGTAACAGTGAGATCTTATCTTAAAAAATAAAAAGGGGACTGGGGATGTGGCTCAAGTGGTATCTTGCTCGCCTAGCATGCAAGAGGCACGGGGTTCGAATCTCAGCACTACATAAAAATAAAATAAAGATACTGTGTCCACCTGGAACTAAAAAAATAAATATAAAAAATAAGATAAAAATAAAAAGGGCTGTAATGTAGATCAGTGGTAGCTTTACCTGAGTTTAAATCCCAATTTAAAAAAAAAAGGAGTTTTAAATGGTATGCAATATTAATATAATACTAAAGGAAGATAAAATCATGAAACTATACAAAGCAGAATTCCAATTTTGTTAAATAGATATTTATAAGAATTTTTATTTGATAAATTTTTATAAATTTTTATAAATTTTTTATAAATTTTTATAAATTTTTATAAATTTTATAAATTTTTATTTATAAGAATTTTTTATTTGATGATAATAGTGGTTACTGAATGAGTAACAGGTATTTTTTTCTCATCCTTACATATTTCTATATTTCCCCAAGTTTCTCTAATAAGCCTTTTTTAAATTGGGATAAAATATACATAACATAAAACTTACTATTTTAAGTGTACTCTTCAGTAGTCATATTTGTATGTGTGTGTGTATATGTGTGTGTGTGTGTGTGTGTGTGTGTGTGTGTGGTGCTGGGGATCGAACCCAGGGCCTTGTGCATATGAGGCAAGAATTCTACCAACTGAGCTATATCCCCAGCCCACTCCAGTGCCATCTTTTATATTCACATTGTTGGGCAAACGCCATTATTCGTCCACAGAAAGTTTTTCACCTGACAAAACTGAAACTTTTATATTCATTAAACTCCTTGTTGCCCCTTCCCCAGTCCCTCCAACCAACTTTCTACTTCCTGTCTCTATGAATTTGACTCCAGTATATCCTGTAACTGGATTCACATGGTATTTGTCCTTTTGCAACTGGCTTATTTCAATTAGTATAATGCCTTCATGGTTCCTCTGTGTTGTAGCATGTCACAACTGACTTCCTTGTTAAGGTTGAATAATATTCCATGGCATGTGTATGTCATATTTTGCTTCCCTAGTCATCCAAAATAGAGATTTTTTTTTAATGAGACTAGAAATTGAACCCTGGGATGCTCTACCACTGAGCTAAATCCCCAGCCCTTTCTATTCTTTATTTTAAGAAAGGGATCTTACTAAATTGCTGAAGCTGGTCTCAAACTTGCAATTCTCCTGCCTCCACCTCCCGAGTTGCTGGGATTACAGGTGTGCACCATCATGCCCTGTTGACACTTGTGTATTTTCCACCTTTTTGGTTACTGTAAATACTGTTGTTATGCCTCTCATGCTTTTTATAATCAGAAAACACATATAAAAATAAAACCAGGGCCAAGCAACTTAGTAAGATCTTATCTTAAAAAATAAAAAGGGCGTGGAGGCAGATCTGTGATCCCAGCCATTCAAGATGCTGAGGCAGGAGAATTGCAAGTTCAAGGCCAGCCTCATCAATGTAGCAAGGCCTTAATTAATCAACTAAGAGAGATCCTGTCTCAAAATAAAAAATGAAAAGGGCTGTGGATGTAGATCAGTGGTGAAGTGCCCTGGTTCAATTCCCAGTACCGATAAATAAATAGATAAATTAATAAATAACCAGGCCACCTCCACACACAGGAAATGCCCAGTCTGGTGCCTGACTATCCCTTTGAAATCACTTAGACCAAAGAAAACATCTCCTACCTAGAACCAGGGCCTCTTCCTTCCCTCGATGCTCCCACTTGTCCTCCCCAGACAGGGAGTCAATGATGGGCTGCAGCAGGTTGCAGACGGCCAGAGCCATCTCCTCGTTCTCCACAGACATGAGGCCACAGATCCGGTCTATGCCAACTGCATGCAGAATCGCCGTGGCCTAGACCCCCAGCAAGAACCACAGTCAGCAGCACCATCTGTCCTTCCCGGTTACCATGCACATGACGGGGTGGGTAAGATCCACTCCCATCCCACTCCATGCCCTAGGGAAATGAGCACTGGCAGCCATGCTTTCATGAGACTCACAGCCTGGGAAACCTCTTTCCAGAGGTTAAGAAGGGCACCCCCCAAAACAGCAGGCCCATATCACACAGGGATATAGAGCCCTTGCAACATAGCAAGACATATTGAGATGTGGTGTGAGTGTAAAATACACATTGGGTTCAAAGACAGTATTAAAAATCTGAACTAGCCTACCCTTGCCTTCAGCTCCTTCCTTTGAATCACTCCTGATACCTTTGTTTTATGAAACCCTTTTCCAGCTCAATCAGAAAAGGCCTGAAACAGTCTTTTGAAACAGGGACCATAAAACCAAGGTTGGCGGACAGGAAAATGCTCTAGACTTTTCATCAGGTTCCCTTTATGCCAGTCATAGCCCTGGGCATGTGTCACCCTCCATGTCCCTGTACTGGCAGCCATCTGCCCTGGGCACACCGGTCCCAGAGTCCTCACCCTCGCTCGGTGGCCACTGCACATGCCTGACAGAGTCCGCACTGCAGCCAGCACCAGCTCAGGCCTCTTAGTGTCCAGGAGCTGCAGCAGCAGGGCCACTCCATTGTTCTGGAAGATCCCCTCAGCCCCTGCGTCCTCCCTGCCCAGCACAATGAGGTTGTTGGCAGCCTGAGGGAAGGAACAGACAGGGAGGGTCAAGAGGGAGGGATGATTGCTGAAGCTTTGTTCAGGGACCAAGTACAGGGCCTGGTGCCAGCAGTGGGTCTCAGAACATTGTATTCTCTTATAATCCTGCTCCTGGAAACACAACCCCAAAACAAAAGTCCAAAGAAGTCAGGGTAGGTTGTGGCTCAGTGGTAGAACGCTTGCCTAGCATGTGTGAGGCACTGGGTTCGGTTCTCAGCACTGCATATAAGTAAATGAATAAAATAAAGGTCATCAACATCTAAAAAAAAAAAAGAAGAAGAAGAAGAAGTCAAGGTAACCTGCATAAACACCAACTTGATGAAATATATTGCAGCCATTAAAGTTATAGATAAGTTTTGGGAATATAGCTCAGTGGTCGAGCTATACTGGCATGCACAAGGCCCTGGCTATGATGCCCAGCTCTAGAAGAGGAGGGACCCACAAAATGAAAACAAAAACCTAGCTGGGTATGGTTACGCATGCCTGTCATCCCAGTGAATCAGGAGGCAGAGGCAGGAGGATTTTGGCTTCAAAGTCAGCCTCAGCATCTCAGAGAAGCTCTAAGCAACTTAGCAAGACCCTGTATCTAAATAAAATGTTTTTTTAAAAAAGGGGCTGGGAGTGTGGTTCAGGGGTTAAGAACCCTTAGGTTCAATCCCTGATTAAACAAACAAACAAACAAACAAAAAACAGGAAACAGGAACCAAAGCAAGAAAAACACTTAGTAAAATTATAGATAAAAAAGATTCCAAGGGCTGGGATTGTAGCTCAGTGGCAGAGCACTTGGCTGGCATGTGTGGGGCACTGGGTTTGGTCCTCAGCACCACATCAAAAATAAATAAATAAAAATGGGGGTATTGTATCCATATGCAATTAAATATATATATATACACACACATATATTTTTTTAAAAAAGCCTCCAAGCTGGAGGTGGTGATGCACACGTGTAATCCCAGTTACTCAAGAGGCCAAAGAGGATCACAAATTCAAGGCCAGCTTGCACAGCTTAAAGAGACCCCCTCTCCAATAAAATAAAAAGATCCACAGATGTAACTCAGTGGTAGAGAACCCCTGAGTTCAATCTCCAATACAGGGGGGAAAAAGATATTTGCATATCATGTGGATATTCTGACTATAAAAATAACATCTCCCACCCCCAGGCACTGTCTATCAAGTTCTTGAATGTAGAACACTCAAATGTTCAATTTCCTTTTTCCAAAGGAGGAATAGAAGGAAACATGAAAAAATACTGCACCACATTTGGTTAAAATGTATCAGTACTTTTTTTTATTTTTATTTTTAGATGTTGATGAAACTTTATTTTATTCATTTATTTATATGTGGTGCTGAGAATTGAACCCAGAGCCTCCCACGTGCTAGGCAAGTGCTCTACCACAGAGCCACAACCCTCCGTACCAGTACATATTTTAATGTTTCAGAATGACTTTCAATATTTCTAAATGAAATAAAATATTATTTGAACTTCTCATTGTTTCTCAGTTCTGAAATTACAGTGAAGCAAGTGAGGCATTACCTTTGGATGCAAAATTTAAAGAGGCACCCCAAAGTTAGTAATCCAGGTAAATAATAGGTTGTGCAATGTTCTTTTTTTTTTTTTTTTTTTTTTTTTTTTAAACTGTTAAGAAAAATTTCGTGTTTTATTGTATCATGAGGCATTGAAACATCTGAACAAATCAATATCTGGGTGGTGAGGCAGCTGCTTTCTCCTTCACTTCTTTGGGTTACTAGAGCAACTTGTCAGTAGATTAAAAAAAAAAAAAAAAAAAAAAGACAATCTTTTGCATTACTTAAGTCTTTCCAAGGCATGCGCTGGTACAACACAAACTTCTCCCATCAGATGCAACTAGGCTAGTGTCCAAACATCATGCACAACACCTTGGTGGCAGCAGCGCACTGCGCCCACTCCCACTGTGGCCCTGCTTATTTGTGTATGATATTTGGAGCATCTGGAGGAGTGTGATAGTATTGGGAAGAGGAGGGAGGAGGAAACAGCATGAGTGCCTGGCCAGGAGGAGGTCAGCCGAAGTTGTGCAGGGCAAGCCTGAACATGTCATTGGTGCAAACCCAAGCATCATTGATGTTCTTTAATAGGAACATCTGGTGGAACCCCATGATAGGGTCTTCATCAGCCTTTAACTGGCCCACAACCATGCTGATGATGCAGCTATCTGGTGTGGGCTGATGGTCCTGCGCCGTGATGCTGTGCTGGATTTTCTGGAACGGAAGGCTAGTCAACTTCTCCATAATGGCAGCTTTCCCCTGAAACTGCTGTCCTTCCCACGTAAGGCATGATGCATCAATATAAATTGCACCTAGCTGGGTTCTGTCATTATCAAATAACTGGTAGTAATGTTGAATGAAGCTGGATCCAATCTGCTCCCAAATTGGCTTATCTCCCATTCTGGAGCGTCACCCAGCGTCACTGAGACCCGAGGGGCTGGCACGATGGCGGCAGCGGCGGCGGCAACCCAGCGCGGTCTCTGTGCAATGTTCTTGAAAATCAAAATCAATGCCAAAAAAAAAAAAAAAAAAAAAACTCTGATGAATAAAATATCAGAATCTTAAAGACAGGATCTGACCCTGCTGCATGACTCTCCATACTGATTCACTCTAATTAAGGCACTGTTTTCTAACGTGCTTGACTTTGGGCTAATTTCCCCCCACGTTCTTCAAGGACCAGGGCCCTCACTCCTTTACTCCTGAACAGCCTTTAAGTGCAGAGATCCTGAGAAACCCAGCAGCCTGAGCCGCGGGTCCGAGAGCGCCCTCTGCTGACTGACTGGCGCCGCCTGTCACTCACCTTTTCCAGCTTATCAGCATCACTGTTTTGGTCCAAGAGGATCTCAAACATGTTCTGTATCCTGGAGTCTGTGGAGAATTGAACGCGGAGCTGAAGAGAGAGGAGGTATTTATGAGGGAGGCAGAATTGGGTCACATTATTTCGATCTATTCTTCTCAGTAAATATTAAAATTTTATTCTGGAAATAAGCCAATACCCCAAAACCAAAGTCCAAATGTTTTCTCTGATATGCTGGTGCTAATTCAGAATAAAGGAACGGGGTGGGGAGGTGCGGGGAAGAACAAATATTCTGAATTAGACAAAGGGGAATGAAGGGAATGGAGGGGGAATGGGAAAAGGAAAGATAGTGGAATGAATCGGACATTACTATCCTATGTGCATATATGATCACATGACCAATGTAATTCTACATCATGTACAACCAGAAGAATGAGAAGCTATACTCCATATATGTAGGTCAAAATACATTTTACTATCCTGCGTAACTAATAAGAACAAATTTAAAAAATTTATTCTGGGCCCTTGGCACATTCATTTATTCATCCAACAAAAGTTAACTGAATAACAACTGTGTGCCAGGCACTGTTCTAGAAGTTGGGGATAGAATGATGAACAAAGTTAAGTCTTTGCCCCTTGATGCTCACAATCTATTTCCATTCCTTAGCCCATTTGGTCATCATAATAGTCTTGGAAGAGAAGGAAACATCAGCCCAACTTTAGAATAAACAATTCCCTTAGACATTTAAATGCTAAGTGATCATAGTTTTTTTTTTTTTTTTAAAGCTTCCATCTAGAGTTTAGAAGACCCTTGTTCTAGCCCTGGCTGTCTTGTGTCCTCAGACAGCATCACAATACGCACACGTAGGTGCTCCTGCTCAACAGTCCTGTGGAGCCTGCCGGTGCCCCTTGCTGTCTCCAGCTCAAAGCATGGAGGTACGGCTGGCTCTGTCCTGAGGTCCTGCTTCCCTCGCACCCCAGGTTTGAGGGAAGAGGTAAGGGCTACCTTCTCCTGGATGCTGGTGTTGAGCCTCCTCAGCGTCTCCTGGAAGTTCTGGTTTCGTGGCTCAAGGGTGGCACAGCGCTGCACATCCTTGAAGGCCTGGTCCAACTTTCCCAGGTGCTCTAGTGCCTGGCATCGCCGATACAGAGCCTTGATGTCTGAGGAGTTGATGTCGATGGCTAGAGAGGGGAGAGGGCAGAGTCTCAGGGCGCCAGGCTGCGGACCACCTCTTCCACCCCAGCCCTAACTGCAGAATCCTGTCTTCCTTGGAGATTATCCACCCATGTGGACTATCTGTCCCATACCATCTTTTTGTTAGGGAGACAGTAAGATCCACAGAGTCTTAAGACTGGAAGAGAGCTTAAGAGTCATCTCATTCAGGTCCTGATGCAACAGGCTCCTCGGGGTTCATCTGATTGGCAGTTGCATATCTCCTGCAACTGGGAGCTCCCTCCTTCTCAAGATAGCCAGGCAGCTCTGTTAGAGAACCCTTCCCTCTTCCTACCCAAAATGTACTCACTTTAACTTTGTCCTTTTATCCTAAGTCTGGCTCTGGAACCACTGAGATGAAATCCAACACTGGTTCCTTGTGACAACCTTTAGGTATTTGAAGGCAGCCTATCTGTCCACCTGGGAGTTGCCTTCCTGGGGCTAAATATTGCTGCTTCCTTCAATTGTTTCCGGTTGGTTCCCTCTTTCCCTTTGTGCGTGTGTGAATGTATGTCTGTGTGAGTGTATTACTGGAGATTGAATCCAGGGGTGCTCCACCCCTGAGCTACACCCCCAGATCTTTTATTGTTTTCTTCTCTTTCTTTCTTTCTTTCTTTTTTTTGATACCAGGGATTGAACTCAGGGCATTCCACCACTGAGCCACACCCCCAGCCCTGTTTTGAATCTTATTTAGAGACAGGGTCTCACTAAGTTGCTTAGTGCCTCACCTTTGCTGAGGCTGGCTTTGAATCTTCGATCCTCCTGTCTCAGCCTCCCAAGCCACTGGGATTACAGGCGTGTGCCACCACACCCAGCCTACTTATGTATTTCTGTGTTCAATATCACCTTGTCTTCAACACTAGGAACCAGCTCAGAACCCAGAGGGATTCCTCAGGACAATACTGCCAAAGTGTTTGTTCAACCATTCATGAACTATTCACAGGACACCTTACTTTGTGCCTGGTATTGATTGTTATGGGTGCTGGGGACGTAGCTGCCTTTATAGAGCTTTCCTTCAGGTTGAGAAGACAGAAAATGAACAGAGGAAACCAATACACATTTTACACAGAATATGGTGTAAGAGTGACAAATGCTATAAAGAAATATAAACAGAATAAAGGGTTAGAGAAGGATAAAAGATGCTATTGGGATAGGGAGGTCAAGAAAATGCTCTCTGAAGAGGGGACGTGTCAGCAAAGATCTGAAGAAAGAATCAAGGCAATTCTGTACCTAGCTGAGACAAGACTGTACCAGGAAAAGCAAACAGGGAATGCAGGGGTCCTGGGGTGAGCACAGAGCTGTCCAACTCTATACCATGGCGCCTTGCTCATGCTGCCCCCTTTCCTACTGCTGCTGTCTCTCTCTGTTCACTAGCTGCCATGGGTCTAGTGAACTTCTGCTTCCATGCCCCAATTCAAACCTTATTTCTTGCAGCCTGCCCTTACATCGCTATGTTCTCACAGTTTTTGTATTTCTGTCACAACAATCATTACTCTGTTCTACACTTGTTTTTTAACCTATTTTGTCTCAATCAGCAGTGTTTAAGCGCAGATTGTCCTATGCATTCTTGTACCCTTGGTGCCTAGCCAGTGTTGGGCCCAAAATAATGTTGATTGTTCCATTTCTATAAAATGTTCAAGATGGGCTGATTCACAGATACAGAAGGCAAATTAGTGTTTGCAGGGTGGGGTATGTGTATGCGTCAGGGACTAGAGAATTACTGCTAAATGGGAATGAGGTCTCCTGTTAAGGTGCTGAAATGTTCTCAAACTAGACAGTGGCGACGGCTGCATAACACTGTGAATGTACTAAATGCAGCTTAATTGCACACTAAAATGGTTAAAATGGTGGATTTTCTTATGTGAATCTTGCCACAACTTCAAAAGATAGTGGTTGACTTGAGTGGAGTTTAGACCATCAAGAGACAGGCAGTCCTGCTTATGAATGAGACAGGGCGGCCAACAGAGAGTCAGAGAAATGAGAAATCTAGTCATGGGACCTGAGGAACCAGAAAAATAAATCCTGAGCAGACACAAGATGATTGTTTACGATTCACACCTTTTCCTGGAACACTGAATGAGAAGTGAGTCAACCAGGTTTTTGTCATGGCTATAGGTGAAGGGATTGGAGTGACATCTGTTAAAACTTTGAACATTGACAGGGAGCGGGGCGGGTCTCCAATGGAATCAGACTTTAAAAAATGGGCTCAAGAATCCCCAACTTCTCACGCCGCGGTGGCACACGCCTGTAATCCCAGCTGCTTGGAAGGCTGAGACAGGAAGATCGAGAGTTCAAAGCCAACCTCAGTGACTTAACGAGGTGCTAAGCAACTCAGTGAGACTCTGTCTCTAAATAAAATACAAAATAGGGCTGGGGATGTGGTTCAGTGGCTGAGTGCCCCTGAGTTCAATCCCCAGTACCTCTCTCTGAAAAAAAATCCCCAAATTCTCTTTCCTTATGTTATTATACCTAAATTAACTGCATTAGAGACTGTCATAGAAAGTATCTGAGTATTTTTCTCTTGGGGCCTTTTCTTTGACAACCACACTCATCTTAATCTAGATACTCAGTTGTTTTATTAATAACATCTCTCCTTGAATAACACAGTTTACCAGTGATTCCTATAATTTAATTTCCACAACAATCTTCTAAGAGTGATACTTTGAGCCTTAAATTGCAAAAGAGAAAACTTTTCTTATAGCAATAAACTGAGATACATACATAATATGTAGCAGTGTTGGAGCATGAGCCCAAGTATTCTGATTCTGGAATGTTGTGTGAATGTTGGTTTAAAACAATTTTTTTTCTGGTACTAGGGATTGAACCCAGGGTCTCTTAACAGCTGAGTCACACTCACAGCTCTTTTTACTCTTTGTTTTGAATTTTTTTTTTTTTTTTTTTTTTTTTTGTGGTAGTGCTGGGGATTGAACCCAGGGCCTTGTACATGGGAGGCAAGCACTCTACCAACTGAGCTATATCCCCAGCCCTACTTCTTATTTTGAGACAGAGTCTCACTAAATCACTTAGGGCCTCACTAAATTGCTGAGGGTTTTTAAAATTTTTGATCATTTGATTAACAATATTAATTCTGTACAATATTGAAAAAAATTAAATATAACATAAAAGCAGAAAAAAAACCCCAAAACTTCTACTACACTAGAATTTGTAGAATCAATTATTTTTCTTCTATATCATAACACAGAAGTGGGGATGGGGCAAAGAGATACATGATGTGTTCCAGTCCCTGAATGATCCATCTAAGAACCAACAGCTCTTTATTGGGAGTCTAGCTGCATTTGAAGACACAAATGACTCTGGGGGCTAAATAGAGTAGATTGTGTCACTACATCGACATTCAGACCTTATATGATACATACCTAATTCAAAGTAATTTAGAGAATTAACCTTTCAAGTAATCTTTTATTAAAGTATAACAAATACAACTGTAATTGTGACTAAGCCTGGATGACACATATCATAAGCTTCAACTTGATGGATTTTACATTTAAATAGTACCCAGAGCTTAAAAATACACAGAATATAAGACTCCCCCCTCCATTCCCTCTTCAGGGACCAGTCCCAGAGGTAAACTGATTTTTATCAGATTAGTTTTGCCTGGTCCTATACTTTATATATAAGTGTGTGGATTCTTTAACCAGACATTATATTTATGAGATTCATCATGTTGCTGGATGTAGTTGAAATTTCTCAATATACCAACAATCATTTGACATTAACGTAGTCCATGTTTTGGCTAATACAAGACAGTATGAACACTCTTATAATCGCGTGAACGCTCATTTAATCATGTTAAATTGCTATTTTTTTTGTGTGTGTGTGGGGGTAACCAAGGATTGAATTTGGAGGCACTCAACCACTGAGCCATATCCCCAGCACTATTTTTTAAGTTTTATTTAGAGTAGGGTCTCACTGAGTTGCTTAATGCCATTGCCTCAGCCTCCTGAAGTGTGCCACCGTGCCTGGCTGTGAAATTGCTATTTGACAGCTGTTAAATGTTGGCAATTTCATATGTGTAGTTCAACCTGTTATACATTTTAAAGTGAACGTGTTTGCATTGCATTACATTGGACATACATCCAGGGATCAGATTGCCAGGCCACAGGTTATATATGTATCTTTGGCTTTTATTGGAAACTAGATATTGCCAGTATTCCAAAGGGTTGTACCAACCCACACTTTCATCAGCATGTATGAGATCTCCAGATGTTCCACATCCTTGCCAACACTCCAATCTCTTGATGCATGAATACTGTATTTTTCATTTTACCTATACTAGTGGGTATGTAATAGTATCACAATGTGTTTTTAATTCACATTTCTCTAACAATGAGTAAAATTAAAATCTATTCATTTGCTTATTGGCCATTTGAATATCCTCCTTAGGTGATGTATTTATTTAAGTCTTTGCTTCCCCACCATTTTTTTTTCTTTTGGTACCAGGTATTGAACCAAGGGGCACTTAACCACTGAGACACATTCCCAGCCCCTTTTTAATATTTTATTTAGAGACAAGATCTCACTAGGTTGCTTACAGTCTCACTAAATTGCTGAAGCTGGCTTTGAACTTGTAATCCTCCTGCCTCAGCCTCCCCAGCTGCTGAGATTACAGATATGCACCATCATGCCCAGCCTTTGCCCACTTTTTAATTGGGCTACTCACCTTTCTTATATGAATTTGTAAGAATTTTGACAATATATTCTGGATACAAGTTGTCAGTTATAGCATTGTAAATATCTTCTCTCACCCTGTAACTTGCCTTTTCATTGTCTCAATGTGTCTTTTAATGAACAGACATTATAACTTTAATTAAATCCAATTTATCCATTTTTCTTTTAAGTTTAATGCTTTTTATATCTTGATAAGAAATGTTTGTCTACTTCAAGGACATGATATTATAGAACATTAACCTTTATTGTTTTCCCATACAGAATTAACCTGTGTTAATTAAACTAAGCCAGTGATTTCTTAAATAGAATCAGGGAAGTGAGAAAGAGCTACTTTCTGAAGGAAGATATTTTTCATTTTGAATGCACTGATTCTGGTTTACAGTGAATCATGAGCACTACTTCCAGTCTGGTCAAAGTATAATTCTGAATGAATGCTCCGAGGAAAAAGGGCCTTTCTCCTCAAGGTCATTAGTTCTGAAGAAGAAGTGATGCTTCATGGAGAAACTAACATTTCTTGAAACTTTTATTACATATTGGATTCTCTATATCCTGTTTCTTGTGAATACTTCAAACAGTCTGTCTTTTGAGTTAGGTATCATTATCTCCATTTTACAAATGAGGAAGCTGAGGTTCAGAGGATAAAAAACTGCCTAAGTTTGTGAAGTGCGTGTTAAGTTGTGTCTTGCCAGACAACTACTCCATCTCTGAAAGCATAACCAGGATTCCTTATTAATTAGTTTCATCCAGATGTTGTAACAAGTCACCATGAATTGGGAGGCTTAAAACAAGAGAAATTTATTCTCTCACAGTCCAGAAGGCTAGAAGTCTGAAATCAAGATGTCAGCAGGGTTGCTTCCTTCTGAGGGTTCTGAGGAGAATCTGTTCCATGCCTTTCTCCCAGCTTCCAGTGAATGCCTTCCTTGGCATGTAGTTCTATCATTCCAACCATCTTCCCCATGACATTGACATGGCCATCTTTTTATAAGGACAAGAGTCATACTGGATAAATCACTGCCCTAGGCCAGCGTCATCTCATGTTTTTCTGTTTGTGTTTG